GGCCCTGGGCTTTCAAGTTGCTCCCCAGGCCCAAAGGCTGTCGCTAGAGCAGACGCCATCCACTGCCATCGAGTCTGTCCCCGCTTAGAGCAACCCTCTGGGGCCACGGTTCTCAACCTGTGGGTCTCCACCCCCAAACGACCTTTCCCCGGGTCGCCCATTCATGGGAGTAGCAAAATTAGAGTTAAGAAGTAGCAATGAAAATAATTTTATGGTTGGGGGTCACCACAACATGAGGAACTGTATTAAAAGGGTAGTGGCATTAGGAAGGTTGAGAACCACTGCTCTGTAGGGTCCCCAGACTGTCTCTCTTTCAAGGAGCAGGCAGCCCCATCTTTCTCCCAAAGAGCTGCTGGTGGGTTTGACCAGTGAGCAGCCCAAAGCCCAACCCTCAGCGCCACCAGGGCCCCTTTCCTTGTAGCAAGGCCAGTCCTGAGCTGCCTGCTGCCAGCGATGGCACTTGGTGACTGTCCTTCAGCTGCAGCCTCTGAGTATAGCTCAGTTAGCATCTTTCCCCGGGCTGCCCTCCCTTGAGGCGCCTCCTGGTCCCGGGCACTGTGGGTCTGAGTGTGGGTGTGAGTCCCCGCAGGAGCAGAGCCACCTTCTCTGGCCCCTCTTCAAGGACATTTGTGTTGCCTCTGCTGCTCGTCGCACAGGTGGTTCGATGTGCTCCAGAAGGTGTCCTCCCAGCTGAAGACCAGCCTCTCCGGCGCCGCGAAGAACCGTGCCGATAAGGTAAGCTGGAGCCCTGCCTGGGTCAGACACAGGCGCTGGGGGAGCCTCCCCAGAGTGCCTCTCCAGGCACTGGGTCAAAGAAGCACCAGCGAGCTTCGTCTCCCATTTGTGTTTCCACAGAACACGATCCATAACCACATCCGCCTGTTTGAACCTCTCGTCATCAAGGCCCTGAAGCAGTACACCACGACCACGTCCGTGCAGCTGCAGAAGCAGGTCCTGGACCTGCTGGCACAGCTGGTGCAGCTACGGGTCAATTACTGCCTCCTGGACTCCGACCAGGTGCACCTTCCCCAGGGGGCCTTGGCCTCTCACCCTGGCATGCCCTCCAAGACAGTAATAAAAACACCCACAAAAAACCCCGGCTGACATTCGGAAACAGTGGAGCTGTCGTCCACCTGCTCTACTTGTTGCTTCGTCCACGTGGCTGGCAGCACACGGAACATGAGGCTCAGCGCCCATGCCCCCACCCAGGGCTGTGGAAGCTCTATAGTGTTTTATCTTGAGAAATCGGGCCAAGGGTTCTTCCCGCTCAGGTGCCTGCCCTCACCTGGAACACAGTTTGATTTTCAGCACTGAGGATACAGACCTGTAGCTGAGGCAGCCGGGGTCAGGGCACTTATGAGCCGGACGGAATCAACTTGATGGGGTGGGTTATTTCTGAGGCTACCTGTTCTCCGTAGCTTGCCGGGCAGGGCCTGGAAGGAGGCAATACATCCTGACCCATATCTTTTGGGATTTTATCCTTGTTTTTTTTAAAAAAATCAAGTTGACTTTTCAGTGAACTTGTTCAGGGGACCTAGGGAAGCGTCCTGATTTCAGAATTGTATTCTTGTCAGTAAGCCGATCGCTCTGTTGTCTGTCAGGACGTGTGTTAGGATACACACTGGTACATGAGAGGAGGGGATGTCAACCCGGGGCCCCCCATAGTCAGTCCCTGATGTCCACAACCTGGCCCTGCGGTGAGGCCTGACCAGTGTGCTTTCCTGCCTGCAGGTCTTCATCGGCTTTGTGCTCAAGCAATTTGAGTATATCGAGGTGGGCCAGTTCAGGTGAGCATACTCCGCTGGGCCTCAGTGCGCATCCCCGGTGGGCTCTGCATGGACATACATGGTACTCGGAGGAGAGCCTGGCGGCTTCCCTTGGAGACCAAGGTCACGCAGCTCGGGCGCTCTGCGACTGACAACTCCGTGCGTGGTCCATTCTCAGTGCCCATTTGAAAGCACTTGTGGTGCCATCTTGCTAAGTGCGTTTCACTTACTGGTGCACCCCTTGTCTTGATCTTGGAGTGCTTTTAGACAGAATTGCCCTTAGTACAAGGTGACTGCTGTGCTCTTGAGTAGGGCCCGGCTCTCCTAGTCCAACAGCCGGACACAGATTAGTATGCCATCAGCAGGAGCGTGGTTGAAATCCGAGAGTACCGGACGGACAGATGTTGATTTGTGTTTCATGGCCTGTGCTGAGGCATTCGTCTGTGTGGATCATAACAAACTCTGGGCAGGCTTCAGGAGAATGGGAATCCCAGAGCAGTACTTCTTACTCCTGTGAACTGCCCTATGGACCAAGAGGCGGTGGTGTGAGCAGAACAAGGCATACTGCCTGGCTGAAAACCAGGAAAGGTGTGTGCCAGGGTTGCAGCTGCTCACTGTCCTGACCCAGTCAGCATGCTGAGCAGCCTTCAGAGGAGCCAGACTGTGGCAAGAAGAATGCCAGCTTCAGATGGGAGGAAGGCTTTAACCTGTGCCGTGCGGACGGCACAGCCGTGCTTGCTGACAGTGGGGAGGACTTGGAGCCCTTGCTGATAGAGACCAAGGATGGCAGCCTCGGGATGGATGACGACTCCGTGGAAGGAAGACCAAGATCCTCACCACTGGACCAGTAGGCAACATTGAAGTTGTCAAGGGTTTCCGCTTGCTTGGATCCACAGTCAGTGCTTGGTAGCAGCAGTCAGTAGATCAGACGTTGAGTTCTAGTTGGTGAATCTGCTGCACAAGACCTCTTTAAGGTGTTGTAAAGCGAGGATGTACCTTGAGGACTGTGGTAGGCCAGGTTGACTAGAGAAACAAATCCAGGGACACACATACACGTATAACAAAGCGCTTTGTATCAAAGAATAATTGTGTGTTGGGAAAAGATCCTGGTCCGTATCAAGTTTGTAGTCCATAAACCTGATCTGAACCCGTAACTCTGATCCTGGTCCACGAGTCTGCAGACCCACGCAGCACATGCAGTGATGCAGAGAGCAGGAAGGTCACAGGTCTGGTCAGTGAGTACAAAGTCTCGTGGACCCAGTGGCAGTGGAAGCATCACAGGGCTGGGCTCACTCGGGTCTGTCTCAGCGTCGGGGCCACAGGCTTGTCCGCAGGAAGGTGGAGCAGTGAGAGAGAGTGGTTTGCTTCCAGGGAGAAAGAAAGTTTCTGGAATCCTCATGAGAAGGCCACACCCATAAGAAGGCATCATTAGGCTGTGACCTGATTGGCAGGCTAGATTCCACCCCTGCACTTACTGATCAAGGTGACATGAAATTACATAACTACCGTAAGTACTAAGGTGCACCTGAGTACCTATGGTATTTTTGATTGTCTTCCGTGTGTGTGAACGTTGGACACTGAAGAAGGAAGACCAGGAAAATCGATGCTTTTTTTTTTTGAGATGTGGCATTGGCGAAATTGGTTATAATGCTGCTGGTCACAAGGATGGCGCTTGGAACCATCAACCCCTTTTTGGAAGAAGGAGGAGACATTCTACTCGGCAAAGAGTTAAGGTTTTGGAAACCCATAGGGGTCATTCTACCCTGTCCTGTGGGGTTTCTGTGAGTGTAACTGACTCGATACCAGTGAATGAGTGCATGCTGGACAGCCAAAAGCATGAACAGACCTGTCCAGGAAGAAGGACAGGCGGCCAAGGTACTCCTTAGAGGCAGGGTCACTGGTGAGGCTGCGTCTCGGCTGTTCCGGACGTGGCAGGAGAGACCATTGCCTGGAGAAGGAAGGACGTCATGCTGGTCAAGTGGAGGGGCACTGGAAGGAGGAAGGCCCTCAATGAGATGGACAGACCGGTGGCTGCGTCAGGGGCTCAGACCTGGGGACGCCGGTGAGGACGGCAGATAGGCGCCAATAAACTCATGTCAGAAAGAGCCCTTTATTCGAGCCACATGCCACAGTGTGCAGCCGTTGCTTGGACACGGCCGCCGCCGCCGCCTCCACCTCGGTCTGTAGACTCTCTCTGTCCGCAGAGCAGTGTCGCGCCTCCCTCCCCCTCCCTGCTCCACTTATGGGGAGGCCGGTGGGGCAAGATCAGGCTGTGGAGTGGGGAGGGTTCTCCTGGAAGAACGAGCCTGAGCCCCGAGCACCGTCTCCTCGGCCTAGAGAGCCTGATGCGTAACTGCCTTGTGACAGCGTGGTGGTGTGGCCAGTGCCTGCCCCTTTTGAGGAGGCCTCACCTCGGGCATGGGAGAATGACCGTGGCTGCTGGCACCTTCTGTGCCCAGGGCTGTCCAGGTGCTTTCTCGCTGGTCCTCTGTGGCCCGCTGCTGGGTGACAGTGGTGGGGTTCCACCAGGTGGCTGCGTTTCTCGCCCCACTCTGAGCCTCGAGCTACTTGTGCTGCAGGTGTCGGGGTGCCTTCCCCTCAGAAGGGTCTGAACTGCTGCTCTCGTTCCCAGGGACTCTGAGGCCATCATCCCCAACATCTTCTTCTTCTTGGTTCTGCTGTCTTATGAACGTTACCACTCCAAGCAGATCATCGGGATCCCCAAAATCATCCAGCTCTGTGACGGCATCATGGCCAGCGGGAGGAAGGCTGTGAC